TATGCTTTCATTAGTGCTTTGATAAGCGATTGAAAAGGATGGCCATCGCTGTAGCATGCTTCTGTAGCCAAATGAAAAAATATATAAGCGTCAATATTTATCAAGGGACTCTGCTGGGTATTATAGCTCACTGATATCAATAATAGCTCCTAATTTTGGGAGCCTTGGGCTAATTTCAAAAGAAGCTGGACGAAGTGCCAAGGCAAGAGTAATTGAAGGAATACGGGATTTTGGGACTGCCATATATAGCTATTTCAAAAAAGGTTGTCGGATAAAATGGCGAATGTCAATGGTCAAACGGCGAAAGTGGTCATGGGTTTTGCTAGTTGAAAGGCAATAACAAATGATTTTTATTGTACGATGGTCTGTGGTGAATATTGGCTCCATTTAGTCTTCATTTCTATGTAAAGGTGAATCCAATAAGTGAAATTTTGTTTATCAAAACAGTGTAACCATAGTTCCTTTCGGTCGTGCATTCTCCCTTCGACAATCGCCGTTCTCCCCGTCAACGTTTTTTGAAATAGCTGTATACATAACAATTTATTAGCGCAGAACAAACACTAGTCAATCCCTTGAAATTCTAATTTAGCAGGATGGTACACCAGTAAAGAAGTACCATAATAATAGTGATGATAGCTTTTATCACATCAAATAGGTTGAGGTTAAGACCTAGAATACTTCGAGGGATAACAGAAGTGGACATGTCTACCACTATTCTTGGTCATCARGTCAGCATGCCGATCTGCATTTCACCCACAGCGCTACACAAAATGGCTCACCCTGATGGCGAGGTTGCAACTGCAAAAGGTAATGCTGAATATCTCAAATTCAAAGTTTTTTGAGGAGGTACGTCCTCGAGACCCGCTATTTCCGATCACCTCTCGCCTTGTCCACTGATGATGCTTGTTAGGACATCGCACAGCTTCTCTCTATGATGGGATTCATTTTTAAAGAGTTTGATATGCTGAATGTCTACAAAGTACAAAGGTCCTCACTGCCACACGTGGCCCACACAATCGGATGAACATATTCTGTTTTTTTATGTTCCACGTATGAGCGATTATATCGTTTCCTTTCTATTTTTATGGGGTGCTAATATAGCAATACCTGACGTCATTAAACTCATTATTATACATTTTTTGTTCTAATTTTTCAGGTTGTGCAAAATCRCAAAGTCTTATGATACAAAGCTTTTATTCCTCGTCAAAAATGGAGGATGTCGTGAATGCTCTTGGYCAAGCACCCCGCTTGCAGCACTTGTTCATATGGAACGAGAAGAAAGAAATTGTAAGAAGACTTATCCAAGAGGAGGAACGMTCGGGAGTAAAAGGCTTTCTTATAACAGTTGACGCGGCCGTSCGAGGAAAAAGACGCTCTTATACTACTACGACTGATTTTAACTATGATCTTAGGTCAATGAATATATTTATGCCGAGATTTGAAGAAATGTTCAGTAAACGGTGAGTATATTGATTCCTTATTGAGTGAGGGCGGTTGGGGGACGGAGGTTGGCTAGTGACCCCACTTTTTGGGGTTGAACTTACGGCAGAGGGAGAAATAATCATGGCATGATTATATAGAAAAAGAAACAAATTTGATTAAGACGCGTTCTGGAAAACACGTAAACCAGGTTCCTTCTGAAAACAATTTCATTTTCTGCAGCCCAAATCTATGCATTAATTTTTCATGAGCTAGTCACCCCCCTTTGTAACGTTCTGGATTCGCATTGAATATCAGGAATCGCTCAATTAAGTTGCTCGTATCAAGGATCACAATTACCACATGCTTCAGTCATGCAATTAGTGGAAACAGAGATGGGTTATTCGATTAGCAACTGCATCTTGAACTCCACCCAGTGATTATGGTAGTGTGAGGTGAGGTGACACAGTAATGATAATTTGTGTATATGAATCTAGTGAGGAATATACTGAAGAAAAAACAAAAAAAATTGGAAATGGTTTAACATGGGATATCATATCGTGGGTGAAATCCATCACCAAGCTGCCAGTTATCCTCAAAGGTATCCTTACAGCAGAAGATGCTAAACTTGCTGTTCAACATGGTGCAGATGCCATCATAGTGTCAAACCATGGTGGTAGACAGTTGGATGGAGTACTAGCAACTGTAAGTACAGCACAGTAGTTCAATTGTAACTGAAAGAAAGAAATAATCAAATACTGGTCCATCAATAGATTGATGCTCTACCAGAAGTAGTGTCAGCTGTCAATGGTCAAGTTGAGGTATACTTGGATGGTGGAGTGAGGCTTGGTACCGATGTATTGAAGGCATTAGCACTGGGTGCACGTGCTGTGTTTATTGGTCGACCTGTGTTATGGGGACTAGCGTGCCAGGTGAATTTAAAAGTAACCGTCTGAACTCTAGCAAAACTAGTGCTAGTGAAACTAGCTTTTTAGTGATCGTCGTAGTCAGATATTAAATCAGAGTTGCTGAACGAAAAAAAAAACATACTAGTTTCTCATTAAGTGTTTGGGCTGCCTGTGTTCTGTTCTAAAAAAGTAATCCAGGCACTTCAACTGAATCCACTGGCAAGGTAATCACTTCTCTTTACTATGCTTGACCGTTTTCCACAGTTTACTTCATAGTTCAATTAGTATAGAATGAAAAATTTATCGCTGAGACAATTGGTTCAAATCATCCGAATAATTTTGATCGTTTTTCATACGCTGATTAATTCAGCACAGCTCATACCATCAACTTCCWTGAACTTAATTTGAATTGCTTGTGTCAATATTTCAGGGTGAGGAAGGTGTTCACAAAGTTCTTGAGATTCTACGCACTGAACTAAAGACAGCAATGATTCTCTCAGGTACGAATATTTCGTAACGTTTTTTCTTTTCTGTCTATTTTTTCTTTTTTGTAATTACAAACAATTTKCAAATACAAGGAAATACATTTACATTGAGAGAGTACTGTTCTATAAGCACAATACATTACATAATATTCATAACTAAGGGAAATAAAAATACTYATTAAATGTTACACACTACGAAATAAAGATTATCAAGATTATTGTCGAATGGTTAGACGTAGGCTGCTTTGGATTGTGTGTGGTATTGCTGTGTTCACAGGAATCCCATTAGGGATTGCGTAGATTTAGTAGAGTCTTGGAAAGGGAAAAGGGCAGCGAAACTAAAAAGACACATCAATCAATGAACTTTTTCTTTCGTTTTGTAGGATGTTCCTCATTAGCTGACATCCCAGCATCTCTTGTAACAAAACAATGCCAATGCCGTCTGTAAAGTTTGTATTGGTAATCGTTGTTCAAACGATCATACAAGTCGTTGGACAAGTTTGACTTGGCTAAGATTGACATTCAAATCACTGCACCCACTATAAACTAAACACACATAATTGTTAAAGCGCTGTTGGGTTCGAAAGATTACTATATCATCGAAGATAAGATTGAAAAGGGGCATGTGAACTGAGACGATTAACAATGGTTYATGCATGACGATGTATCAGCCCCACTCGATGTCTTCACTGGTTAAAAGGGCGAATGAGCTCATTTGAGCCACCGGCCATCATGCAAAAAACATTTGACTTGTTTATTGTGATGTAATCTGGTTGTTGTGCTTTTTTAGTTTGAGATCTTGGGACGGACTGTGCAGCGGCAGCCAGAGGCGCCAACTCAAGCTCACAGTCTACTAAGAGAGTCGGACTCTCATGTTTTGTAGTTGTCATGTAGTTTTAAAGCGCTTAGAACAGAATTGGATAAGCGCTATAGCATTTATTATTATTATATTATTACATTATTATTATTATTATTATTAGTATTATTATTATTATTATGATTATTATCATTATTATTATTATTCCCATGCTCCCTTTGGTTCTTTAATTCGATGACGTAACTGGCGCTTTTCGAATCTAACAAATGCTGATATAATCACATTTTAATCTTAAATTTCAACAAGTGTAGGCGGTGTTGGTTAAAATAAGCTCAATAAATTTTATTAACTTATCTAATCAGACCATATTTTTTACATGCTAACTATATGGGGTACTACAAGTTAAAAGTTATGTCTGGATTTGAATAGATCTTCTATAGATATGGATCAAGAAAAGAAAATATGTTTCAAATCTTAGATTTCGTTTTCGAGCTTCCGCGTACATCTATTGATCTTTAATCGACTGCATCCAATGATTCTTGCCGCATCACAGATATTCTGGACTGCTCTCTCCTGTAAATCGTAAATATAAATCTAAATCAATAGGTTTAATTGATGAACAATTTAATGTATCGTCTTCGTACTCAGAACTCTTTCGAAAGAATTCYTTTTTAAATGATTTTGTACTTGATCTTCTATCACTTGCATGCTTGAAAAAGTGCATTTCCACGCATGGCAATTGAAAGCTTGTGAAAGTTGGGTCCATTTTCATACTTTAAATAAAAATTTTGATATTGTCTATATTCCTGTACAATATCTTTTATGCTTCCACACTCATCTGGGATTCCTGTGGTCCAGTCTACCAACAGGGGTAGTGAGGGTTAGTTTTGCAGGGGTTCCAATCTCAATTGATTACTACCCCCTTTTGCTATTTATTGAAAGCCGCATGGCTTATATGCCTTCTTTGCAAGTTTCTTCGGTACTGCTTGGATCTAATTTTCTCAAGGAATTTTACAAATAGAGTTTTAAATTTTCTTCTCAGAATATCCTGTGATTTCTTTGCTGTTTCATTGACATGATATGGAAATCGGTTTTTTTTTCTTATTCTTTTTTTCTTGCTTTTTCGAGTCGATCGTTTTCGTTTCAAAATATTTCTTTTTTAGATATAAACATGGACAATTGAGTTGCTTTTACTATAACCCGCTCTGTCAAATAAGCGGAACTTTTTATCTCCGATAATCTTTATTGTCACTCAAATTAATTCATACATTAGCTCTCCATCTTAGTAAGATAGTAAGTAWTATACCTCATTACCAGCATGGACGCCATCTTGAATTCCGTTGTTTTAAGTGTCGATTCAATAAGGATCTATGGGATACCCAGGGGGCACTAATCAAGATATTTATAGGTTGTACGGCTTTGATGATGTTATAAAATGTGAAAAACATAAAATAATAGAACCTTTTCAGTGTATTTTTGAAATTTAGAATTAATCATGAAAGAAAGCGATTTTTAGCTATACTATTCTATATCCATGGACATCCCATAATTTGTTCAGAATTCGATGTGACGGTTGTGATAGTAATAGAGGTATGTTTTTGTATAACTGCGGTCGTTATAATGAATTTAACCCATGCAATTTTTACTTTAATGGTGAACAAGTTTGTATTTTCAGTGTTTCCTTTATTCCGACGAAAAAAATGYTGTTTTCCATCTTTTGACGACCACGTAAGTTGTAAATTAAAGTCAAAATGGCCGTTGGGTGTTCGAGTGTKTCTCATAAGAACGCGTACTCGTTGTCAAGGGGTGTGAAGTTCGGACGTATAATTTCTAAATATATRCAATCATCTAAGAATCCATTTCGATAAAATCTCTGTCCGTCTTGAGAAAAACATACTCTGATTTTAAAAAGACAATTATACAACGGAAGCTTGCACAAACAACTCGACAGTGCTTTGCTGTTAGTTCGAAGCTGCTCTATATTCTAAGGGATTGTTCAATTTCTAAACTTGTTTTGATAATACACTGGCAGTATAATATATTTAATATAATTACCTGTTTTGCCTTGATAATTTCTGGAAGTGTTCTTTTGCCGTTCCCAATAGGAAGCCCTCCAGTAAATGCRTCGYTCTGATAGACACACATGGCCATTAACACGGCTGCCGATAGAAGAAGAAAAGCGATTCTATTGCTCATCGTGATAAAGTAAGAATACGATGATTTGACTAGTGTGGTTGATAGTAAAACGTAGTGAGTATAGTACACTTGGTGAGCTATTATATAGTTTCCTAAAGGATTTACAGCAAGTACTATCATAAGCGCGATCGGTCGGTCAAGTGGGCCTCTTGATGCCGGTAAARTTTCGTGTCGTTCACTCTTGGGTTAATCGCCATGATAGGAAGGATTTTAAAGAGATTTTTTGTTCTCAAAGCGTAAACTTTTGAGTACAAGCAGCCTTAACGAAGGGACACTACAAACGGAACTGGACTTTGATAGTAAGCCGTTTACCATCTGTGCTTACTGATGGTACTGATTATCTCTAATTCAATCGCTATCTTTATGCATCATAAACTGTTTAAGTGGGACATTTTCTATCTCTATATCATTCACGAACTATCATATTCCTTAGATTATTGGACATATGAGGACGTAGGCTAAAGTTTACTCTATTTTTGTCCGCCCCTTTTTTACTTTTGCTGTTTGGCTAAAATCCGTATTTCCTATGACGTGTTGAACAAGTTTTCTTTTTCTTTTGTTTTCTAGGATGTTCCTCATTTATTAGCTGATATTCCAGCATCTCTTATAACAAAACAATGTCAATGTAATCGGATTTAAAAAATGGAAGTACGTTATTGTTTGTTAAATCCAGACTACAAATTCGCGCTAGTTTTACATATGAAGATATAATTCACTGATAGCTCGGAAAAATCTTTATTTCAAACATTTATATTTATTAGACTTCCAGTAATTTACATATTAGCATRTAAACACCGAGTTTATAAAAAGGTCAACTGTAACTGTTTATTGTTGTAAACTGTCAACATTAAATACAACATCCAATTCTGTATTACCGGTCGTCACAGTGTAGACAGTGTATGATGTACTCTTGCCACATAGCAGTGTCGGTCCACAATTGCAGCTTTCGCGATGGGAAGTGAACCGAGTAAACGCTCTAAGAGCGTCTAAAGACTTAACGACTTCTCGGATCTCGTCACGGTGTTTTTAAGTTTTATTTATGTCTGAATATTCTGTTTCTTCTTAAAAATGTTGTAGTGTAAATGGTATCTTTAAAAAACAGGAACCATAAGTTTTCTGAATAAAAAAACAAAAATAAATAAATACATGGATGTGGTGGCTCGGGCTTCCTGTTGTAGTGTAAATGGTATCTTTAAAAAACAGGAACCATAAGTTTTCTGAATAAAAAAAATAAAAATAAATAAATACATGGATGTGGTGGCTCGGGCTTCCTGTGGCAAAAACAGCAAAATGGCGAAATCAGAACCGAGATCTCACGAACGGCACGAACCTATGTGTCTAAGCGATTTTGAAGAACTTTCCAAAGAGAGGATGAGTGTTTTGACTCTGGAATACTATTCGGGAGGTGCTGATGACGAGGTAACGATCAAGGAAAACATACAGGCCTTCAAAAGGTGACTATTTATTATTTTGATGTTGAACCCAACTCAAGTGTATAGTTGCTCATTTAATAGAATCAATAATCCCTGGTTTACTTCCATATTGGCAGAAGCATTGCCGTAAATAAAGCAAAGAATACCGRAGTTTTTCTTCGTAGTAGAGCCCTTGGAATACGGGATTTTAGGGATTAGCACAGCAACAAATACGTACTTAGTAGTCGATCCCTTGAAATTCTACTTTAGCAACATAGTACMGCAGTAAAGAAGTGCCAAATAATAATGCTGGTAGCTTTTGCCATATCAAATAGGTTGAGGTTAAGACCTAGAATGCTTCGAGGGATAACAGAAGTGGACATGTCTACCACTATTCTTGGTCATCAARTCAGCATGCCGATCTGCATTTCACCCACAGCGCTACACAAAATGGCTCACCCTGATGGCGAGGTTGCCACTGCAAAAGGTAATGCTGAATATCTCAAATTCAAAGTTATTTGAGGAGGTATGTCCTCGGGACCCGCTATTTCCTATCGCCTCTCGCCTTGTCCCCTGATGATGCTTGTTAGGACATCGCACAGCTTCTCTCTATGATGGGATTCATTTTTAAAGAGGTTGATATGCTGAATGTCTACAAAGTACAAAGGTCCTCACTGCCACCCGTGGCCCACACAATCGGATGAACATATTCTGTTTTTTTATGTTCCACGTAGGAGCGATTGTATCGTTCCCTTTCTATTTCTATGGGGTGCTTATATAGCTATACGTTAGGTCATTAAACCCCCCCTCTCCCACTCTCATTGAACCCCAGCCATACGCTGACCTGTTTTTAAACTAAAAAGTAAAAAACAGATTCTTATCATTTATAATAAATTTGGTTGTTTTTTGTTGTTGTAATTTTCAGGTTGTGCAAAGTCACAAACTCTTATGACACATAGCTTTTTTTCCTCGTCAAAAATGGAGGATGTCGTGAATGCTCTTGGTCAAGCACCTCGCTTGCAGCACTTGTACATATGGAATGACAAGAAAGAATTTATAAGAAAACTAATCCAAGAGGAGGAACGATCGGGAGTTAAAGGCTTTGTTATAACAGTTGACGAACCTGTGCGAGGAAATAGACGTTCGTATACTGCCACAACTKATTTTGATAACTTTCATCTTAAGTCAATGAATATATTTATGCCGAGACTTGACGAAATGATCAGTAAACCGTGAGTATATTTTAATAAAGTTCCCCATTAAGGGTGATTAGGGTGGTGGTCAGTGACCCCTTTTTTAGGGTTCAAAATTACAGAGATAAAAATCATGACATTAAATAGATGTGAATAAGACGCGTTCTGAAAAACACGTAAAACAGTTTCCTACTGAAAAACAAATTCATTTTCTGCAGTTCAAATGCATTCAATATTTTTTCATGAGCCAGTCACCCCCCTTTGTAACATTCTGGATTTGACATCGAATATCAGGAATCGCTCACTAATATAAGGTAATTTAGTTGCTCATATCAAGGATCACAATTACAACATGCTTCATTGTTTATGCAATTAGTGGAAACAGAGATGGATTATTGGCTTATGAAGGAAGCAAGTACATCACCCCCTCCCCCCCCCTCCCCCCAAATGATTATGGTAGTGTGAGGTGAGGTGACACAGCAATAATAATTTGTGTACATGAGTATAGTGAGGAATATTCTGAAGAAAAAACATCACAAACTGGAAGTGGTTTAACATGGGATATCATATCGTGGGTGAAATCCATCACCAAGCTRCCAGTTATCCTCAAAGGTATCCTTACAGCAGAAGATGCTAAACTTGCTGTTMAACATGGTGCAGATGCCATCATAGTGTCAAACCATGGTGGTAGACAGTTGGATGGAGTACTAGCAACTGTAAGTAAAGCACAAAAGTTCAATTGTAACTGTAAGAAAGAAATAATCAAACACTGATCCATCAATAGATTGATGCTCTACCAGAAGTAGTGTCAGCTGTCAATGGTCAAGTTGAGGTATACTTGGATGGTGGAGTGAGGCTTGGTACTGATGTAYTGAAGGCATTAGCACTGGGTGCACGTGCTGTGTTTATTGGTCGGCCTGTGTTATGGGGACTAGCGTGCCAGGTGAATTTAAAAGTAACCGTCTGAACTCTAGCAAAACTAGTGCTAGTGAAACTAGCATTTTAGGCCGTCATCGTAGTCAGATATTGAGTCGTGAAAAGTCATGACTTCTTTGTACTATGCTTGACCGTTTTCCACAGTTTACTTCATAGTTCAGTTAGACGAATGAAAAATTTATCGCCGAGACAATGGGTTCAAATCATCCGAATAATTTTGATCGTTTTTCATACGCTGATTAATTCAGCACAACTCCATACCATCAGCTTCCTTGAACTTAATTTGATTTGCTTGTGTCAATACTTCAGGGTGAGGAAGGTGTTCACAAAGTTCTTGAGATTCTACGCACTGAACTAAAGACAGCAATGATTCTCTCAGGTACGAATATTTCGTAACGTTTTTTGTTTTCTTTCTTTTTTGTAATCACTAACAATTTGCAAATACAAGGAAATACGTTTACAGTGAGACAGTACTGTCAGTACTGTATTCATGAAACTAAGGGAAATAAAAATACATATTAAATGTTGCACACTACGAAATAAAAATTATCAAGATTATTGTCGAATGGTTTTTGGTCGTTTTTTGACGTAGGCTGCTTGTTTTTTGACGTATTCCTGTGTTCACARAAATCCCATTAGGGAGTAGATTGCGTAGATTCGGTAGAGGCTTGGAAAGGGAAAGGTCAGCGAAACTAAAAAGTCACATCAATCAATGGCCATCAATGAACTWTTTCTTTCGTTWTGTAGGATGTTCCTCATTAGCTGACATCCCAGCATCTCTTGTAACAAAACAATGGGAATGCCATCTTTAACATCTGTAGGTGTTTTAATCCACCGGCTTTTTCAAAGAATCACACAAAGTGTGCAAGTCGTTGCGCAAGTTTGGATTGGTTAATAAGACTGGCGTTCAATAAGATCATTGCGCAGTGCGAATCAAAAAACCGTGGGCGCCTAGAAATATTTCGGGAATGTTTATTGTTCATTGACCAATCAGAAGCGAGATTAACCGTCATCAAGTGCATTTTCACGTGCAAATTTAATCAAAACTTCAATGACGTTACAAATATATTAAACTAGTTGATCACAAAAAACGGCCTGTAAAAGCTCACAAATTGTACAATTTCGTTGTTTAGAATAAACGCAAAGTTTGTCCATTTATGTTTGTCAGCTAAAGTTAGATTTCAAGTACACATTCCCGAAATATGTCTAGGCAGTGACGGTTTTTCGATTCGCACTGTAACACACCTAATTGTAAAGGGCTGTTGGGTTCGAAAGATCACTGCATCATCGAAGATAACATTGAAGAGGGGCATGTGAACTTCAGTAACAATGGTTTATGCATGGCGATGTATCAGCCCCACTCGATGTCTTCACTAGTCATTCTTCCCATGGTCCCTTAGTTCTTTACTTCGATGACGTAACTCGCTCCTCGAATCTAATAAATGCTGATATAATCACATTTTAATCTTAAATTTCAACAAAGACGGTGTTGGTTAAAATAAGCTMAATAAATTTTATTAACTTATCTAATCAGACCATATTTTTTACATGCTAACTATATTGGGTACTGCAAGTTAAAAGTTATGTTTGTATTTGAATAGATCTTCTATAGATATTGATCAGGAATAAGAAAATATGTTTCAAATTTTAGATTTCGAGCTTCCGCGTACATCTATTGATCTTTAATCGACTGCATCCGATGATTCTTGCCGCATCACAGATATTCTTTACTACTCTCTCCTGAAAATCATAAATATAAATATAAATCAGTAGGTTTAATAGATGAAGAGGTTAATTTATMGTCTTCGTATTCAGAATTCTCTTTTAAAAAATTCTCTTAAATGGAAACTTGATTGAAATGATTTTGTACTTGATATATATGTTCTTTTAATTGCATGCTTGAAAAAATCAATTTCCATGCATGGTAATTCAAACCTTGTTAAAATTTTGTAAATGGCAATATTTTCATATTATGTAGAAATTTTGATATGTTCCTGTAAAATATTCATTTTCTACATAGACTGATTACATGACATGATGGCATATTATGGAAAACTTTTTTCTTGCTTTTTCGAGTTGGTCGTTTTCATTTTCAAAATTTTTCWTTTTTAAATACAAACGTAGACGATTGCATGAGTTGCTCTTTAGTACATAACCCTCTCTTTCAAATAAGCGGAACTTTTTATCTTCGATAATCTTTATTRTCACTCAAATGAATTCATACATTAGCTCTCCATCTTGAGTAATATACCTCATTACCAGCATKGCCGCCATCTTGAATTCCGTTGTTTTAAGCCGTTGATTCAATAAGAAACTATGGGATACCCAGGGGGCACTAATCAAGATATTTATAGGTTGTACGGCTCTGTAGTCTCCTCTCGCAGCAGTTCGTGAGAGGATACTAACGGCTCTGATGCCCGGGGGGAGGGGGGAGGGTCTCCCTAATATCAAAGGGCGGGGGTCCTCGGCGTCCCTTTTAGGGTTTGAAAATGCTATAAGATTTGATATTACGTCATATTATTTCAATTATACATAGAATAATATAACCTTTTTGTACGTGTTTTTTTTTTGAAATTTAGAATTAAACACCAAATTTCAAAGAAAACGATTTTTACTAGCTACTATTCTATATCCATGGACATGCCATAATATGTTCAGAATTCGATGTGACGGCTGTGGTAGTGATAGAGGTATGTTTTCGTATAACTGCGGTCGTTTTAATGAATTTAACCCATGCAATTTTTAATTTAATGGTTAACTAGTTTGTATTTTCAGTGTTTCCTTTATTCCGATGAAAAAAGTGTTGTTTTCCAGTTTTTAACGATCACGTAAGTTGTAAATTAAAGTCAAAATGGCCGTTGGGTGTTCGAGTGTGTCTTATAAGAACGCGTACTCGTTTTGTCGAGGGGTGCAAAATTCGGACGTATAATTTCTAAATATATACAATAATCAAAGAATCCATTTCTCCAAGCGAGTGTTTGATAAAATCTCTGTCCGTCTTGAGAAAAACATACTCTGATTTTGGAAAGACAATTATACAACGGAACCTTGCACAAACAACTCGACAGTGCTTTGCTGTTAGTTCGAAGCTGCTCTAATATTCTAAGATTCTTCATTCTAAACTTGTTTTGATAATACACTGGCAGTATATATTTAATATAATTACCTGTTTTGCCTTGATAATTTCTGGAAGTGTTCTCTTCCCTTTCCCAATAGGAAGCACTGTATGTCCTGCATCGCTCTGATAGACACACATGGCAATTAACACGGCTGACGATAGTAGAAGAAAAGCGATTCTATTGCTCATCGTAATAAAGTAAGAATACGATGATTTGACTAGTGTGGTTAATAGTACACTTGGTGAGCTATTATATAGTTTCCTAAAGGATTTACAGCAAGTACTGCTATCATAAGTGCAATCGGTCAAGTGGRCCTCTTGATGCCGGTAAAATTTCGTGTCGTTCACTCTTGGCTTAATCACCATGGTAGGAAGGATTGGCTCATAATTGTTTAAAGAGATTTTGGTTCTCAAAGCGTAAACTTTGAGTACAAGCAGCCTTAACGAAGGAACACTAGAAACGGAACTGGACTTTGATAGTAAGAGTTTACCATCTGTGCTTACCGATGGTACTGATTATCTCTAAGTCAATCGCTATCTTTATGCATCATAAACTGTTTAAGTGGGACATTTTCTATCTCTATATATCATTCTTGATCATTCACGAACTATCATATTCCTTAGGTTATTGGACATATGAGAACGTAGGTTAATTAAAGTCTATTTTTGTCCGACCCTTTTTCACTTTTGCTGTTTGGCTAAGATCCGTCTTTCCCATGACGTATTGAACCATGTGGGTTATTTTGTTATCCATAAATCGCTCAATTGCAAGCTTTCTACATTTTGAGTTTTGTTATAGTGTATACTGTTTTACGCTCTTAACATTTTTTGTAAGTTTTAGTAGTCTCGAGATCCAGTCTAGGTTAATTACACCCTATTATCAGTAGCAAAATAAATGTTTGATTCTGTATGTTGTTCACAGGGGCTGTGTGTTTTAGCTGGGTTGGGTTGGAAGGATAATAAAGGTCTAATATCAGTCAAGAAATACTAGAATTCATCGACTTATTGTAGCTTTTCCGAATGCTCACAGTCCACACATGTTTGAAACCCGTGTGTTCCCCTGAATTCGCTCCTAATAAAATAAACGGTTTATTMAGTAAAAACGCTTAATGAAGGCTAGTTTAAATTTGTGCGTTTTAGTGAGTTCATTCTTTATCCTCCTTAAGAATCACTTTTTTCGAAACGCTCTAGCTCTGAATCGCGCAACCATTCTAAGAACAACTAAGTGCCTCCAGGACTCACTTATATTRTTATCGATAATATCTGTTGTTGTCGCACTAGCTTTTCTTAATTTATCGATAGAAATCCTTTGAGCATAACTAGGTATCAACAATGTAAATCAATCAATTATCAAGTTTATTTTGAAGTTTTAGATTATCAACACCATGATAAAATGTTTTGCACATTTATAAAATAACTATTGTATAACGCARCATTGATGCGCAAAAACAAACAAACAACAACAACAAGCAAAAAGTTGTTGTTCTAAAAAAGGCATTMGAAAAAACAGCCGATATGATCTTGAAAGAGGTTGCCCACCTAAAAAGACATTTCCAATGTTCCGATTGGCTGTACGACTTAGTAGAGAAACAACAAGGCTTTGTAAAATTCTATATGAACACTAGGTAATGTTCCACGTGAAGTAACCCATGAATATATCAAGACACGTGACATTGGAGCATTGGTAATTCATTTTAGGTGAACAACCTTTTCAAGACTGATCGGCTGTATTTCACGCATGTTTACTGTATCTGTTGCTTGGGATTGTTGGGAAAACGCGGTAATTCAATAAAAAAAAAGCACAATATTTTTGGGCGCTCAATTGTAAATGTTTTCGCTCTTTCATTTCGCTTGTTCCCTAACTAAAACTATAGTTGTCTGTTTGCTTTGCTTTTCTCTTTCCTTATGCCTGTTCTTTTGCCCATGACGATGTCAAGATATCAAAGAGCAGATTTCACGGCTCTTACGTAGCTTTACGTGTCGTTGCTRTGTTCTCGTAATCTTTCTTACGTTTAATATTTTCTATTACGTCAACTGGGTGAGACTCCGCCACCGTGCTGCTTGTTSTCCGTGGTTTTGCTAATGCGTGAAATTTTACGGGTGCAGTGATAAGCGACTTTGCTCATCTAAAACAACAACTAGCCTCATAATGATTACAAACCTTTCGTGGCTTATAGTGGAAAAATTGATATTTTTGAAAAGATATTTGTTTTCTGCTTACGGTTATTCGTAGTTTCTTTTTTGATGTGCTTTCTTCATTGTGAATTTTTTTTTCTCTTGTATCATCTGAACTTTGCTGCTCTAATCGTTTTACTTTCAACGGCAATGCAGTCAATTATAATAATGAGCTGATGATAAATGGTGCATTTATTACCATATTAGTGTCATCTAGCTCACACACTGAAATGATATGCTGACAATATCGCAGTCGTATTGGTGAATAAAACATCAGCAGTACGATAGTTTCAAGATATACTAGCCACTAAACAAGTAGCAATTTCAAAGACAAACAATCATTTCATTTTTCTTCTCGGGTAAGTACCAGCTGAGTAGAAATTTAAAAATAAAACWAAAAGTACGAAAGYACTAGTAGACTTAGTAAAGCGGGAAATCCCTCCTCAGGAATTAAATTCGATTGACTGCGAATAATCGCCATGACTATCGTGCATCCTGATTTTATCAGCTTTGCTTTGACGTCAGACTTAAAAAGCCTCTCCAATCCAATCTAGATAACGTTTGAAAGGTTAAACAACTCGTGGGGCTCTCACAATTAGGCGTGAGTCAAAAATCGGTGTACGTATGGTCAGCCCATTAAAATAAGCTTAATTTTTGTTCATGCTTTTCAGAATCAAAAGTGAATCTTTTGGATCAAGATGGTAATTTGAWGATGGCTATCAAGTGTCGTTTGGTCATCATTCATTCATTTTATTTTATTATTATTATTTTTTTATTTTTAAGTGTTTTTTTTTATGAGTTGCTGGACAAATCAGTATTAAGTGCTGACGTTTCTATGTTTTTTTTCACATATGCCGA